GCGGCCAGCTAAGCCCTACCGCCCGCTGCCCCTGCTGCCTCTGCTGCCCCACTAGCGCTTGACCGCCCGGCACTCCTTGCAAACCTGCGCCGAGCCCGGCGCAGGGCTGCCCCAGGCCCCAGCGGCTACACTGCTGAAATCCTCCGATTGGTCTTAGACGAGGATGATGCGTCACAGCTTTTGTGTGACGTTGCTTGCCTGCTCGCCCGAGCTCATGTGCTGGAGTCAGCTGTCGCTGGCCTTGCGTTGGGCCGCCTCGTCGCCCTCAGCAAACCAGGCGGGGGCACGCGAGGTTTGGTTGTTGGTGACTTTCTGCGACGGCTTGTTGCCAGAACCATGGCACAGCAGTTCGCCTCCAACTTCGAAGCCGCTTGCAACCCCCACCAGTACGCCCTCTCTACGCCGGCCGGTGCCGAAGCGCTAGTGCATACCTTGCAGGCGCGCACTCAGGCTGACCCCAGCCTGACGCTCTTGTCAGTTGATGCTGCAGCTGCATATGACCTAGTTAGCCGGGAAGCTATGGTAACAGCACTGCGTAACACACCCAACACACTACTAGTCCTTCCTTTTGCCCGTTTGTGGTATGCTCGGGAGTCGTGTTACGTTTGGGCCGCGGGCGACCACTCCCACCGAATCCTCCAAGCCTTGATGCCGGCCATGTTTTCGCTTGCCTTGCAGCCCGCCCTCCGGGCCCTGCAGACTGAGCTTCTCCAAGGCGAACAGGCCCCGGCATATCTTGATGACATTTACATCCTCGCCCCTCCCGCCAGAGTCGCTCAGTTGTACCGTGGACTTGAACACCACTTGTGGCATCACGCACGCCTCCGCCTCAAGGCTGCTAAGACAAAAGTTTGGAGCTCCGCTGGCATTCTTCCACCTGGTGTGCTTGCCCTTGCTGTTGTGGCCCTTGGCGTTCCCCTTGGCAATCCGGAGTTCGTCGAATTCCTCGACAACTTCCTTGCACTCCATGACTCCCAAGTTGCATGGCGGTTGCTCTCCTGTTGTGCAGCACCGCGTGCGCAGTATGCTCTCCGCACGCTCCCGCTTCAATGCACGCACGGCTACGCAACAGACCACGATAGCGCAGTCCTCCGTTGCCTTGCCGCGCTTTTGTTTGCCGATGAGGCGTCACACCTGCCTGAGCCTGCTCAAGCACGCGCGCAGCTAGCATTGCGGCACGGCGGCCTCGGCCTGCGCAGTGCCACACGGCACGCGCCCGCTGCTTACTGGGCTTCATGGGCTGACGCGTTGCGCGCTATAACTCGGCGCGACGACCCCGAATTCGCAGACGAAGTCGCCGGCTCCCTCGCCTCTGACCGGCCACTCCCGTTGGCACTGCAATCGGCACGAAACGCCCGCGATTCACTTTTTGCCATCGGCTTTAAGCCTCCTGCATGGGCGGAGTTGCTGCATGCTCCAGTGCCAGCCCAGCCCGAAGAGGACCCGTCTCTTGACTCAACTCGCGGTTGGCAGCGCCCGGCGCCCCAAGCCGTTGACAGCTTTTGCCATGGGGCCTTTCTTCGCGAAACCGACGCTGCTTCGGCCGCCCTGCTGGACTCGCAGGCTGGGCCTCATGCGGCACAAGTTCTCACCACCCGTCCCACCTTGCCGGACTGCTCGTTGGAGTCACCGCTCTTCCGTGCCATCCTGTTGCGCAGACTTCGCTTGCCCATGCCCCAAACTTCTGCCAGATGCCGTTGCCGCGCACACCTCGATCCTTGTGGTGACCAGTGACCACCTCGCCGCCTGCCCGTGTTCCGGCCTTTTGCGGTCGAGGGGCGGCCCCCTCGAGCGTGCTGCTGCACGGGTGTGCAGAGAAGCTGGGCAGCGGTCGCTCTCAATGTGCTTGTCAGGGACTTGAATGTCGACCCTGTTCGCCAAGACGACCGACGCATTGAGGTCATCGCCAATGGCCTACCGCTCTGGGGTGGCGCCCAGCTTGCAGTTGACACCACGCTCGTCTCCCCCCTTGCTGCTGCCAGCCTCCCGCGCAGGGCTGGTGGCGGTACTGCCGGAGCTGCCTTGCTCACTGCAAGACGAGCGAAAGAGCGGACCTACCCTGAACTGTGCAGGTCCACTGCAGGCTCACAGTCCCTGCTCTCGAGGTTGGGGGGCGTTGGAGTGCATGGAGTGCCGAGGCCGCGACCTCTGTCCGCTTGCTGGCAAGGTGTCGGGCACGGTCCGTGCCCTCACAATCACGCGCTGCCGCCATCTCGGCTTTCACTCTCCGGTGGTCTGCGCTCCTTTCCTTTGCAGCTGCGCACTCTTTCGCAGCCAGCCTGTTGTCCTTGCCCCGTACCGGCACAGCAAATGTTGACGGGGAGCTTCCACCTCTGAGCGACATCCTCGCTGACTCGCCTTCCCAACCCCCGCTCGCCAGCCGTGTGGTGTGACTGCGCTCTGCGAGCGCCGCCTGCCGCTCTTTGCTGTAGACTGTTGCCTTGGCTTTGGGCTTTGCACAAGGACTGCGCTGCTTTGGACGGTGGCAAAAAGGTCCGTGGGAAAAAAAAGTATAGAGTCAAGTGCATCGTACATAGGGTGAGTGACGTACCCCGAGTTACGTGCGTGATACATAGAGTGAGGGTACATAGGGTGAAGTGCATAGTACATAGTGTGAAGTGACGTTATGACTTTATGTGCTTGTGTACCTGACTTATGTGCTTGACTCTATGCACTGCACTGGACGGCTTACAGGGTTCAAGGTTTGCTTACGACAAGTCGTCACTGCTTTGCCCCCTTCCACCCTCCGAAGTTGGAAGAGGCACGAAATCAATGTTTCTTGCTGGATGCGGAGAAAAATATTCCTCATGCAGAGCGAGTTGACTCGAGCATAAGGTTGCCTTTCAAAGCCTGCGCCAGTCATTGCCATCAGACTTCCCAAGTGCTTGACCGCAACGCGTCGCCTTCCCGGATGTAATGCAAAGCTCCCGACCTTGCCCCGTCATTTTTGCCAAGGTTTGGCAAGCCTTGATTGTGGCTTCCTCTTTCGCCTTGCCTCCTCCCGGGGCCGGGCGCAGAGGACCAGGCCTTTGGCTTTCGCGTGCTCGACCAGGTCTTTGGACACCTTGAGGGGGCAAAGCTGCGAACAAGTACCCTTGCAGACGCACTGCAAAGACTTGAGTGTTCCTTCGGCTTCTGGATCGGTTTTCGATTCGATTCTGCTAGCCACAGTTGCACGAGGCCGCCGCCTGGAAAGGAGACGTCGTCACAATCTAGTGTGCCGAACTCGATCTCCCTGAAGATCCATATCGCCGCGAAGAGGAAGGCCTCCTTGGCGAAAGGAACACTGTTGCAAGACGTTCTGCCCTTCTTAGTCCGAGGTTCACCAGCGGCGGAAGCGACCCGCAGAGGTACTTCCCTCGCCCTCTTCCGGGGACGAAAGTGCTTCGAGAGCCTTTTCTTACATAGCTGCATTACTTGGTCGAATAGGTGGGTCCAAGCGTGCCCTCGTTCAACATGCACTAGTTTCAATTGAAGCAAATACGATGGCACGGATCTGTACTTTGCGTTCTTAAAGTGCGTAGCCACGACTTCTAGCTTCCGGGGTTGCAGAGGGAACACAGGGCCATCCTTCTTCACCTTTCACACCAACCTGACGACGGTCCTACGTCTTGATGACTTAGGTTTCGAGGTGGTCACGGCAAAGTAATCCGTCCCCAAAGCCTTGACATCGTCTGCCTCTTCGCTCGGGGACAATGGCGAGAGCCTTCGTTTCAATGCCCTTTTCGGTGGCGGGGTGGAACTTCAAACTCAGTCTGCGCTTCTGTGGCGCTCCCGGTTCCAACCGGCTTTCTTGCAGGAGTCTAAGTGTTGTCCTTGCTCGCCTCCTGCACTGATGTGAGGAGTTTCTCCAAACCTGCATCAGGCACCTTCTTCTCGGGAGGAGCAATGAAAGAGAAGGAAGCTGAAAGAAAACGCTTCACTGGAAGCATCTTAAGTGAGCTTCCTGTTCCGGGTGTTTCCAGCAACAGAGGAGACTTCACGGCCGGGGCCCCCGCAGCCTCAGCGGTTGCCAGACCAACAACCCTTCGGCTAGCCGAGGGCGACGCCGAAATTTCTTCCGAAGCTATATTGTTCTTGGAGAGAACTGCCCGAGCAGTCTCGCCCACTCCATTGCCAGGGGCATCCTTTGCGCTAAACGCCCCTCGCGCTACGGAAAACAAGCCTGCCACTGAACCAACCAGTTGAGCAGGGTGCAACGTTAGGCAATACGGCGAGTCTTGCAAGTCCCGCACTACCAGCAACGAATGACTTGGCATCACGGTAAAGCACAGAGAGGAGCGGAAACATTGCTGCGAGCTCTGTCAGAGAAAGCGGGCTTCGCGGCACTTCTCTGTGTCTGGGGAGCGAAATCGAGCTATGTCCGACCACGTCCCCAGGGCCATTACTAAGGGTCCTCCCACTGGCAGCTTTTGTTTCAATGAACACGGACACGCGCGGGACGAAGCCTGGGTTTGCAGGCCTTCTACCAGGGGTCCTCACTGGCAGCTTTGTGTCGCAAATTAACCCTCGGAGGGACGAAGCCACAGCCCCGCTGGCAGCTTTGGTTTGAGTACAGGTTACCCTCGCGGAACGAGGCCGCAGCTGTGCCGACCACATTCCCAGAGACTCTGCCAGGGGTCCTCCCGCTGGCAGCTTGCATCAAAAAAGGCAAAATTGCAGAGGCAGGTTCATCGAACAGGACTGTTGCAGGAACGGTTACTCTCTGAGCAGGTGCTGCCACACGCAGAGTTTGCGGGCGGTTTGCAAAGTGAAAGTAAGCAGACCACGGCTGCGAGCCTCTTGAAGGTGCACAACTGCGCCTTTGGCGTGTTTCAAGACTGTGGGGCGGTCCTGCTCTCCTTTCCTGCGGACGGGACAACCAGTCTGCCACCGTGTTCGCGGCACCGGGAACATGCACTGCCTTGAGATCTTGGATGTCAATCTTTTCCAGCAAGAATGCCAGCTCGGTTCCAATGAGGTTCAAGGTGTCGTTAGGTGCTCAGCTTGTCGGTGAGCGCTCAGGCGATGATTGAATCTGAACGGAAAGTCAAAGTGACCGAATCCGCCAAACTGTGCTGCCATTGCCACACAGCGACCAACACCGTTAAAGCTTCGCCAATGCCGTGGCTATTGGAAGCCCCATGTGTGAGGCCAAAGTATTCGGCGTCTTGCTTGGTAACTCTTGCCTCGAGGAACTTGGTCACTACCCCATTGACGGTGAGATAGGCTCCTAAGCCCATCGGTGATGCGTCTGTCGTAATGACTGCCTGAGGCCCCAGGTCAGAAGACATGATGTTCACACATCTCGTCGGCGTCGATTCCACCGCATTGGCCAGTTTGAGAAGCCAGAGGTGAACGTGGTTGAGCTGACTGACATAAAACATTGCCTCCTTGCCCGTGTTGTGTTTTCGAGCTTGTCGACGACGTTCTTCTGTGCCGGATGCGACTTCGGCGAATCTGGAATGAAGGGCTGCGTAGAGCATGCGGGTTGCCCGAGTGCACGGGAAGATGCCGGAAAGCCATGCAGCCTTTCCCGCTGCGCGACACAGCTCTTTGATCGGGGCTTTGCCACTACCCCAGCCCTGAAGCAAGCTAGCGGAATCCTTCAGTAAAAAACAAAAATCTTCTCCGACACTGCCAGCAGGATGTGATCGCACTGGGTGTGTTTGAATACTACTCCGCACCAGGTGGCTTCACGACCCCTCGCGCCTTTCGCCAATGAGACGATGAAGCCCAAGGCCCTCAAGGTGTAAAGGATGAACGCTAGAATGACATTCCGTCGGCGTAGACATCCCTGCAAGGCCATTTAGCGCGTCGTCCAAGTACGTCTGGTGCGCGGCCTCCACGGGGTCCAATGCACACTGGAGGATCCTCGAAGTTGACGCTGCCAATCGAGCCCACGCCAGCGGAGCCGTGTTAAAGCCGAAAAGGACGGCAATGAACAGGATGATCTCCCCTTCCTGTGGAGATGGGGCCATACAATGTTTGATTTCGTCGGGGTGTACTGCTAGATGCATGAACGCATCGTGCACATCAATGATCACCCACTCCTTAGCCCAGTCCTCTGTGTCCCAACCATGCCGCTTGTATTTGGTTTTCAAGCTACCCTTCTTCTTGTGCTGAAACTTCGCCATCTTGATCACGTCTTTGGGACTTGGAAGAGTGAGTCTTTCGCGAAGCTTAGCTTTCTTGTTGCCAGTGCTGCGTTTCAAGTCGGTCACAATCCTTCTTTTCAGACTTCCATCCTGTTTGGTCTTGAGGATCGAACCGAGCTTTGAAATCGTTCTTGCGCCGTACCGTCGCCTGGCTTCTCACATACTGATTCTACGCAGGTAGCCTTCTGATATCAGCTTCACCCTCATTCATCACCACTGAAAGGTAATTGCGACGTCCAAAACCTCCGCGGCTGTGATTAACTCCTCTTGCGGTTCCTCAGCTTCCGCTGGTGGGTATCCCGCAAGATTTGATTTCTCTGGCCATGCCGAGCGTGTGAGCATCCTTGAGTCTGACTGCATCGAGCTCCTTCGAGCCCGTGACCTTTCGGAGGCAAGACCTCCACTCTTTTGTGATGCGTACGTCTTCCATTGCGTCCTTCGTGCCATAGCGTTCCGCGAGATGTAGTGCTTTTGGGTTTCTCGTCGCAAAGGATTCCCACGCCGACATCATTCTCACTCCCAATGCCCGAGTCGAAGGAAGTCCCAGAACCGCTAATGCAGGATTGCGCATGCCTCCAAGGTGCGGCTTCTCCTCACTCACATGTTTGGCAGGAGACTCCACCTTTCCGTAGTTCCCCGCTCCTGGTTTCCAATCAGCGGAGGGGTCTTCATTGTTTGATGAGCAGGAAGGACGATCGATCATAACAATTTTCTTGAACGGGCGGCTTGATCTTGGGTTGGAGTGACTAAATTTGGTTTCTGAGCTTTTGTATGCGCTCGGTGCTAGAACCATCGTGCCCTCCACGGCCTGCATGTTGTGGGCATCTTGTTCTGAGACCGAAGCCATGTCATCAACCTTCAATTGAATGTCAACCTTAGCCTTCGCTTTCTGTGATTTGGGATCCTTGGATCGCCTTAGAAAGGTAATTTTCTTTCAATCTCAACCATTCCAACGTAGCTATTTTCTCCAAGTGCTCCACAATGAGGTTCGCAAACTTGTCACATAAAGCCGGCGGGTACTCGACAGTAGCTTTGGAGTCGGAGTCGGTGATGGTCACTCCTTTGTGGGTACCGCTGGTACACGAACATGCTGCCGACATCGAGCTCAAATCCCGCAGGGAGCCCAAGAACTGTTGGGTTTCAAGATTTTGTTCCCCTCCTCGAGTTCCTGGTTGGAATGCGCACGTAGGGAAAGCTGCCCAGTCCAAATCTCCATTGTGAAGTCCTTCATCTGCGAAGGTTTTGACCTCGGGAAGTTCCCACGCTGACAAATGTTGAGGGTGCGCCGAAGGTGGAGGATTTTCTAACGTCACCGGCGGCTTAATCCCTGACTTGTTGCTGGCGTTGCACGGCCTCTGCAATGAGCACGCTTCGAACTGCCAAGATGGTACCTTGGTCCGCTTCGGCTTGCCTACGAGGTGATTGGCTTGGAATGCCGCACGGCAAACTCTTTGGATCGGACGGGTGCTGGACCACCTTGTACCTCTCTCCATCTAGCCTTCGAAAACGTAGCGCACGGAAATCCTGCATGGAATCCGTCCCAACCACCCTTTCTTACTTGGTCTAGATGATCACAAAAAGGCTGCTCGAGAGCCAGGTCACAACCCGTAGCCAAATCACATGAAATAACATTGACATGCAGTCCTCGTGATTCGGCTGCCTAGAGGGTCCCGAGGTCCCGCGAAATAATGAAGGTACCTGAAAACCCTCGTTTCCTTGTACTGCTCGAATGTTGGCGTGCTCGTATGCTCACTGTTGTCTCTTGGTTCATCTCCTGGTCCTTGTCCCTGGCCCTTTTCCTCGTCCTTACCTTCGTCACCATGTGAAGCATCGCCTCTGCCTTTCTTAGTTTGCGAACAGGCCTTCGAGGTTGAGGATCGCTTCCTCTTCTTCTCACCGGCTGCGCAAACCATGACGGAATGAAGTGAAGCTCACCTGACAAAGACAACAATCCTAATATACTCACTTCTTCTGAGGGCAATCCTTCGAGGGATGCCCTGGCGAGCCACAGATTGTGCAGTTGTGCTCCCTCTTGACCTGCGATTGGCATGGAGCTCCAGGTGGCAAAACAGTGCAGGGCCCGTTGCCGTTGTTCAGCCATAACACGTCTGACTGCCCTGATTCCCGCTTGCGGTGCCCTTTCCGCTGCTTTTGCCACCACCTGGCACGAAACTTGTAGCGGAAGCGCGATATCTCTTTAAATCCTCCTTGTCCTTTGCTCGCTTCCTTTTTTCGTGCTATGGCCCTTGTGCTGTTGCCCTTGTCTGCGCCCCGACCGCCTCCGAAGGAGGGGTGATGGCGGCCAATCCACCAGGGGTGTTCGCTGCCGCATAATCCTCCTGGGGAGTGCTGGGGATACCCCGGCCGCCCTTGGCCAGCCAAGTCAGAGCGGGTTGATGTAGTTGTTCCTGCCAATAGTCTTGACTGTCCAAGATCTCATTGAAGACGGCGTCCCAAGGGTTTGATTGTGTCCAACCCGGTGGAGGCGAGTCCCCGGCAGCCACTCTCATAGCAATCCTGTTTGCTACCCTTGCCGATAGCTCTGCGCATGCTCTGTCTTCCGCCGTGTAGACAAGATGCCAGCAGTTCGTGTATCGTCTCGCCATCCTCTCCACGAGCTCTTCGTATGCTTGCAAGCGAGCGACACCCACCACATTTAGCATAATCAGTGCGGTGTGGTAGACTTTGAAGCAAGCTGACCACTGGGTAATATAGGCAGGTCCAGGAGTTCTTTCAGCATGTAATCCCCCCGCCCACGGTGACAAACGACTGAACTTGGAAGCCTTTAAAGCTTTGCGTGCAAACGGGACAAACACAGAGAACTCTGCGCAGGGAGGCAAGCCAGAGCTCGTTCTGCGTTTCAATGCAAGGTAATGTTCCAACGAAGGTTCGGATTCTTCTGTTGGAGGAGCTCCCATTGTTGTGACGTGATGTGTCTTTCGAGAGCCTGGAGGAAATCCTTCGAGCTGTTCTTGTCCACGACCAATTCCGAGTCGTCCGACTGGTCGAGAATTGTGGCCATTTTCACCTTCCGCTCGCTGTCCGCCGCCACTGCCGGGGATGACGTCGCAGTAGCTTGACGGGTTGTTGATGCAACAGACTGCCAAGGATCCAGATCCACCCAATCGTCGATGTTCCTGCCTGACTCGACCCACATACATCTCCTCGCCAACCTCCAAACCAGCCCCACCTGAGTGGCCTAACTACTGAAGGAGCCGAGCCATCCGCCAGTTTCAGTGATTCCACAGATCTGGCAAAGATGTTGGCCGGAATAGCCGCCAAGTTGCGGATCTCGTCGGCGAAGTCGCCCAATTGTGACTCCAAGGCATCCCAAACTGCTTATGGCACTTGATAATGAGTAACGAGTGCGAAGTGCAGAAAGAGAATTCATAGAACCCATAGCAACCACAGGAAGAAACATGGCCGCTCGCGAGGGGAAGGCAAGGATAAAGAAGTGAAACAAGATTCATGCCTCCGGTCGGAGGCTCGAGCACGAGAGGTTAGCCACCGACCCTGTAGCAGTCGGCAGTTTTGTCCTACGCAACAAGTTCGCTGCGCTAACATGTTGCTCTCGGGTTTAAGGCTTAAAGGCTTAAGGTTTAGGGTTTATAGGCATTTGTTACTGGACTAGACTAATATGACTCTGGCTTAGGGTTTAGGGTTTATTGCTTAAGGGTTTAAGGCTTGAGGTTTGGGGTTCATAGGCATTGGGAAAGTTACTACTTTTGCGGTGCTTTGCGGTGCTCGGGAGAGAAGTGCATGGAGTGAAGTGCATCGAGTTACGTGCATAGTACATAGAGTGAATGCAGTACGTCGAGCTACGTGCATAGTACATAGAGTGAAGTACATAGAGTCAAGTGCATCGTCCACAGAGTGAAAATGTACTTGACTTTAGGACTCTCTGTACCTGTGTACCTGACTTATGGGCTTGACTCTATGCACCGGACTGGACTAGACGAATATGACTCTATGTGCATGTATACTTGACTCTATGACTCTTTAGGGTTTCGGGTTGAGCAAAAAAGGCTTAGGGTTTAAGGTTTATTGCTTAAGGGCTTAGGCCTTAAGGTTTAGGGTTTATAGGCATTGGTTCACCAATAGTAAGCCAATACATCTCGAGATTTTCGTTTGTTTCAATCATTCAAAAAAACATGAAAAACTTGAGGTTTGGTGATCGCGGCCGGTGTAGATGCGCAGGGACAGCCGTCGCCTTCTGTCGCGCGAGCAGCCGCAGGAGCTGCACGGTCTCAGCAGTGCCAAACCTGCCGCCAATCTCGACACCGACAACGACGGACCTCAACGGCTCGTTGTCCTCGCTGCCGATGTCGGGAGCCGCACTGGAGCGACGAGTGCCAGCAGTTCTTCCATATCTTACTCTGGCTCCGCCGCGTCCAATGCGTCCTACCATGCACCCTTGCGCGCTGCTGCCGTGCGCCCCGCTGGCGGAGTGTGCCGTCGGTTGCCATGGTTGCCCTGCAGCGAGCCGTCTCCAGCTCCGCACTTGGAGTATGGTTCATGCCGCCGCTGCCTGGTGCGCCAGACGTGCTCCGTTGGGTGACGACGTGTTGGACCTCGCGATTGCGGGCGAGTCGGCTGCCGCTTCGCCAGCGCCCCGTAGGCGTTTAGGTTGTTGCCGACGTTGGGACACGTTGTGCGGACGTAAGAAGGCGTGGAAAAAGTTGAGGCCATCCCTCTATTATACACGCGGGATCACGCGGGCGGACCAAATTCCCACCACAGTCGCAGACCACGGCTCCCGGAAACACGCTGCTTCACAGATGCCACAAGATGCCACAACCACAAGCAGACGCTTTCGATGGTCCTGAGCCATCGCCCGCTGGTGTCAACGGGCAGACGCGCGACCCCGATGCATGCACATTGGAGCTGTGGTTTCTATTCTTCTTTGTGGAGAGAAGCATCGGGTGTAGCGATTCGGCAAGGGGACCCCCTCGCAAAGGTACTGGCTCGGGGGGGGTTTACCTACAGTGCGACCTATTTCCGGCATCATTTCCGGGAGAGTGGCGGGGGGGATAGAAATAGGTACCGAGGGGACACAGAAATAGGTACCGGGGGATATCGGGAAGAACAGACCAGATGCCGGGGTGCACAAAAAGGCCGAGATCCCAGACAGCTGCTGCATCCGGTGAGAGTCCTCAGACCTCCCCCCAACCACCCCTTCCCCGAACATCAAAATATTGAAGTAGACCGGAGTACCTTCCCCCCCCCCCACCTACCCCACTCCCCCCCTCGCGAGGAGGTACCCATGATTCGGCTGTACATGCAATTTTTCCACCGAACGACGGGAAGAGTTTCTGCTGCCTAGGGATTACAAGCATGTCCGACCCTTGCGCGGGACCCTTCCGATTTGCAGGTTGGGGTCGTAAGTTGAGTGGTTCCGTCGTGAACATCCACAGCTCAAACCTTAGTGCCGTAATTAGTGCCTGCACTGCCGCTTCAAAGGAATCGGCCGCATATTCCGTAGCTGGTCGCAGAATCATGGATGGAGATACCGCCTTCTGCAGACCAAATTCGACAGAGGAAGCGCAGTCGTATCTGGGGTATGCTCATGTGGACACCCCCAACTTAGGGCCGTGGATTGTATATGCAGTTTCGTTTGCTTTGCATTTGACTGCTACCATGGCATTCAACGACAGGATCAGCATAAGCATTTTGCGGCATTGTTCTTTGCAGAGGGTGAAGGACTCCGCAAAGAATGCATGGACCAACATCGGTGTCACCACTTCCCTAGTCCTGACGACCGTCATCGGTGCTCTCATTGAGGGCCACGAGATCACTCCGCAAGGTTATTGCATTGGAGATTACCAAATATTTCAAATCCGCCAGATATACGTAGCCTTGTGCTTGACATGTTTTTTTGCAAACATAAACTGCATTTTCTTCTGTGTGTTGACATTATTCCACTGGGATTCGTTGACAGATGCAGATGCTATCGAGTTCTTGCGGCGCAACCCACAAATTCTGGGAGAGACGGTCATCTACATGATGGAATCTTACTTGTTTTTCGTTCTAGCCATCGCAGCCTGGCTTTATGGCACATATGGTCGCCCGATTGTATTTGGGACCTTCGCAGCTCTTGTTAGCAGTGCGCTCGCCAACACGGCACGTGTCTGGTGGAATTTGGCATCATTCGACCCCAAAGCACCAAGACGGCCAAGGCGACGATGGCGGCGAATGGGACAACGTTGGCAGCAAGTTTTGGATCAAGTGTCGGAACATGAACCGAAGGAATCCATTCTTGAAGCTGCTCCAGCCAAGAGCTCCGTTCGCGACGATTCAGAAAGCGATGTATCTCATGAGGCCACCAATCGAGCAACAACCGATGCCAGCACTCCAGCTGTGCAGCGGACAATCTCAGGCGGATCGTCTGAGAAACACCTGACATGTTGAGATTGGAAACTTTGTTGGTTGAGCACGCACAGAAGCAAGCTCACACAGTTCGTCAGGTCGTAGTGTTTCAGTTTCCTGACATGCCGCAGGTCTCGCAAATTTGCGAGAATGCTGATGAAACAATCGGCTGTGGTGACGTAGGTGGACGTTTGCCGAAAAAGGATTTTTGCAGGACTGGAATCTTGCAACGCCCTGTGCGCCAAGCAAATCTCATGCACCACCTGTAGCCTTCTGTTGAGTTGAGAAGCGTGTCCCAACTCCATGTCGGAATCGTTGGTGCAGCAGCCAATAGGTTGACAAGTGACGGACATGCTCTTTCCCAAGGCTCGGAGCTCTTGTGTGACTGTCCTTCGGCCAGCGTTGTTTCAACGGGACACGTATATGATAGTCCATTTGTTGCAACAAAAAGGTGCAGGGCACTACTTGCCAGTGCCAATGTCGGTTTTCAGCTGGTGTTGATGCCGGGCCACATGTCGAACCATGGGCCATCCATTGTCGCTTCACCTTGCATGGATGCCGTGGGCACTTGGATACACGATCGCGACTGCATCTTGGAAGCTGAACGGGCGGAGACAGTCCGAGGGTGCATCTGCCTACATTGCGAACATGCTTTCCAAAAATGGTGACGTCACTTAGCAAAGCATTCCAGTACCCAAGTCCCTGACCCTTAGACAGGGTTTTGCTGACAGAGTCGTTCAGCAGAGTTTAGCAGCATCACAGCAGCAACGTCTCAGGACTTGGTTGTGTATTTTGAGATGGACACAACGTTGACTTCATTCAACTGGGCACGAATTGCAGACAACTTGCGGTTGCGAAGGTATACGTGCAACATCGGCAAAGGACTTGCAACGTGAAGGCTTCATGACACCCCCTGCGAAATTGCCACTGTCCCACCTAAAGCATTGCTTGCACTGCGTTCGCATGCGGTAGTAGATCCTCCAAGCAGCTCAGTTGCTCCAATATGTACAACGGATTGAACATGAATGAACACTTCCGATATTTGCATTTTGCCAGGACACTCACCAGCGGTGCCATACAGTGGCTTGAGCAGCAAGGGGCCCAAACATGGAGTGCATGCCCTGCTGCTTTGTTCGAAGTCGTCAGGTTCGGCACCTTTCGTCGAAAGCCCTGTGTCATCTTGTTGTCATGCTCGAGGCAGGCCGAACAAAGTCGTTCTGTTCCAGTCTATTCGATTGACCATTAATGGAAAGGCAGCTGTGGTGATGATAATTGGGGTGAATTTCGACACCCATGATGAGCACAAAGCAGAGCAGGTTGACCAACTGTTCCGGGAGATTCGCCGGCAACAAGCCGTCGCGTCTCGAGACGGCCTTGTGTTCCAAGCCATTCTATTGGGTGATATAAACGATCGAATCGTTCTCAAAGCAGATGCTCGCCTTGACGTGGAAATCTCCCACATGCGTCACTGGGTGCACTCGCAAAAGGTCGCAGCTCTGACCAACAGGAGCCAAGCTATTCTTCGTCATCTTCTGGTAACAAATCATGGAAGGCGAGAGTTGCTGTCGTGGGATGTGAAGTACTTTGACGGCCAGGCAGTCGGCGGTGTGACTCTCGATCATCCGTCACGAAAGTTTTGCGACAGCTTTTTCTTGCAGACAGACTGGTGGAGAGAGCATCAGCTTGAGCCTTCACCCGTGACGTATAAGTACACACCCTGGGACCAGCTAGTGTCGTCCGACATCGTAGATGACATTGAGCGTGCCAGCAGCGATGGCAAGCTGAACGCTAGCCACAGCGGGTGGGCTGTGAGCTTCACAGAACTTGAAACGGCACTGAGGGCTAAGGGTCGAACAGTAAAGAGCCTTGATCCGACCAGCATGCCTTCGTTTTTCATGATGACTGATCACATTCCCAAGACAAGGTTGCAAGTAGAAGATGCCCAGACCTATCTGAACTTGAACCTCCGAAAGGATCCTGTTTACTTGGCTTTTGGGTGGCTGGACTCTGTCGGTTTTCTCCGACCGAAATCTGTGGGAGACCTCGGTTTCGACATGCCCGTATTCCTGGACTTCACGACGGATTTTGGAGTTCGAGGAGATGACCATGCACTAACTCACGCGCGGTTGCAGCTGACAGCTGCGGGTGCTGATGCGAAAAGCCTTCCCATTTGGCCCTTGCTGAGTGGGGCATCTGCAGTTAGCCTGCTGGTTTGTCGCAGGCGCTGCAGGCGATAAGCGAGGCGGTTCGGTATGGATTCACTGAGTTGGGCCAGCACACACTGGGCTCTCTGCGACTCCCCAACACTGCAAAATGCCATATTTCAGTGTGTGAGATCATGCAGGTGACCCAGTCTTGGCGAATGGCAGGCGGAAAACATAGGTTTTTGTGGGCTAGCTCAGGCCCTATCAACTTTTTTCATTTCTGTTTGGTCAGCAGGGCTTTAACGAATCCTTGATTGTTTCGGAGACCTGTGCCGGTTTGAGTCTTTGAGCGGAGTGGTTCTTCTCGGATGCAATTACTTGTACCAGCGACTCAAGCAAACAGCGCATTGCTTGCAGCTTGAGGCTGAAGATGGGTTTTAGTCGCCCTGTGCTCCCGCTGCTGCTAATTTCATTGCTGAATTTCAGCACTTTCAGCACGACATCTAAGTGCTCCTTGTTCTGTGCCCGACTTCCTCAGAGAACTCGAAGGCTTTTCTCGCATTCGGGGAAAAGGTCCACGCTTTGGGACTGGGCCTCCGCTCCTGGCTCGATTGGCTCCATGCCACGCTGGCGTTCGGGTCCGGGTGGAGCTGCTGGGAACGGGGGCGCGGGCTACCAAGCAGGCGTCAGCTCAGGCCCCTACTGTAGCGCTGGCCCTCGCCAACGGGGCCCTCGATGGGAGCAGGAGCTGCAAGGCGACACCGGTGGTGGAGTGTGGTATTTCGGATTCGGGGCCAACATCAACCCTTGGAAGCTGCGAGAGCGACGAGGCATCATACCATTGGCAGAGGTTCCGGGCAAAGTTGTTGGGTGGAGGCTTTTGTTCAATCACAAGGGCGGTATGGGAAATGTGCAGCGTTTGGATGAACTGCCGGCTGACGATGGCCCAGATGCAGTTCATGGAATTCTTCTCCAGCTCACCACCAGGGATTTTGCCAAGCTTTGTCAAATCGAGTATGAGTACCGTACAACGGAGCTAAATGTGGAGTCATACGATGGTAGAGTCATTGCTGCGCAGGCCTTTGTAAGTCCAGCTGAGTGGAAGTTGCCGACGAATGTAGCGCCACCAGAGCGATACTTGAAGCTTATTCGAGAAGGTTGCAAGGAGATGGGCATTGATTTCTCATACCAGAGGTGGCTACAGTCTATTTCCAGCAACAAAGGGCAAAGAGGCCCAGAGTATTGGGATGCCCCGGCAAACAGGCAAAAGCGAGCCAAGAAAGGGTCAAGCCCGAGTGTTCGGGACGATCCAGAGCGACCCCTCAAACTGGCCGCATTGTCACACTTCGCTGTGGGTGCAGGCGAGGTGGGTAGCTTGGTGGATATCGGGGCAAACTTGGGTAAGTGCTCACCTCAAGATCTTGCTGCGCAGCTTGTGCGAGCCTCTGCCTCGCAAGTGAGCCATGTGATCCTCACAGGATGCAACTGGCCTTGAGCATTAGAAAACGGATATGATAAATATGATGTCCTGTGACCCTGTCTTGGGTGTTGGCGTTTTGCACTGAGGCAGTGTCAAGGGATCCAGGGATGCCAGCCGGCTTTGTCGGGAATGGACGGGGCCGACAGGATGGTCAAAGGCTCTGAAGCTTGTGGGCGCTGCCGCTCAGAGAGAGCTGCTCGGATTCCTAGACCCTAGGCATCTCATCGTTTTCGTTTGTTTCCTCCAAACATAATTTTAACGCTACGCCGCCCGCCTCGGCTGTGTAGCGGCAGGGCGAGGGGGCAGTCGATGTTTTTTTATGCTAGGGCGGCCTGTCAAACCCCAACCTTTACACGGTTGTTGATACGAAGTGCGAGGAGAATGGGTAGGGGAGGGGGGGGGGGGGGGGGGGGGGGGGGGGGGGGGGGGGGGGGGGGGGGGGGGGGGGGGGGGGGGGGGGGGGGGGGGGGGGGGGGGGGGGGCGTGTGAGGGAGAGGCAGGCCAACAAATCAGGTAAAATGAAGGGAAGCCGGGCAAGGGGGTGGCAAACGAACGCAAAAAGCGGGTGTCCCCAAACATTTGGACCGCAGGGAGGAGGATTAGGTGGAGGGTACCTGAGCTAACCCCCAAGACGCCTGGGCCTGTGGCCTCGGCGGATTCCTAGGGTTAGCTTCAGCTTTCACCGCGCGGGTCCCTGGGGGGTAAAGGTCTCGGGTTTCCACCGGGCCTCCGCGTCTATCACCTGGCGGGTCGCGATACAGGGCGCGGCTCCGAGTAGGCAGTGCTCCTACAGTACAGAAGGCTTTTAGGTTCCCGGTTGACCATGTTCATTGTTTTCTGGCGTTCGTCACAGTCTGGCTTGTGTTCGGAGCTGCGGCAAGCTCCTAGCTTTACTCGGTTTGCGCTGACATCACAAGATGCAGGATCCAGGAGACTGGGGTTGAGGTCCTTCCAAACCTGCTCTTTACTGCCGGTGTCCATCCGCATGATGCGAAGAGCTGCAATCCGGAGACCTTGGATACTTTGAGATCATTGGCGGGCGAGAAAGCTTGCGTTTCAATTGGGGAGTGTGGTGTCTTCGGACAATTATGTCAAATCGATTTCATTTCGCTGTTGCAAGGCTGCTTACAGTGCAAAGCGGATGTGTTTTGTGACCTGAGACTGAGGCCTAGACTATGACAGGATGTTCTCACCACGAGATGTCCAGTTGCACTGGTGCCGACAGCAAGTGGAACTTGCGGTGGAGTTGCGCATGACACTTGTCACCTACTTCACCTCGTTTGTTGCCCTAGCACTTGATGTTGCCTTTTGGGCTGTGCGAATGTATGAGTGTGCTTGCGAGACAACTCATCTGTAACAGGCCTTTATTCCTCCATGAGCGAGACCGAGATGCGAGCAAGGGAAAGCCATTGGGGTCGTCAGATGATCTTCAGCGCATCCTCATGGAAAGTGGCGTGTCTCCGAAGATGGCCTGCATTCACTGCTTCACGGGAAAGGCCGAAGATCTGAAAGCTTACGTCTCCAGAGGCCGGTCAGTCTAGGATTCTTTCGCAAACTCTGGCAAGGAGGTTTACAAAGCAGGGTCCCGGTGAGGCTATTTCATCGGCCTTACTGGCTTCGCTGCCATGAAGAAGCGTGGAGCACATATTCGACAGCTCCTTCAAGATGGCGCAATTCCACTCGAGCAACTGATGATAGAGCCTCTTGGCCTTTCCGTAAGTTCGCGATTCAAGCAGGGCTGAAACTAGAAGGAGCGCTTCGTTCTTTGCTGACCAGCAGCGGTTTAAGAGGACAGATTAAGCGACGACTCGAAACTATGTGGCCACATCGTCGAATATCAGTTGGGTAGTGCTTGAGTCGTGTTCGCAACGAAGCCTGTGACACGCTTCGCGATATCAGCGGAGAGGCGCAGCATGTGGTCCGAGGACAGATTGCCCTTTCATGCTGCCGGACAGAGAGTATCTTCCCGACACCCTGGGCGTTCGCGGCCGTGGCCGGCCTCAAGCGCAGGGGTCTTTGGGTGGGTAGGTCTGCATCTTTTGGTTGTGGTGCTGAGGCACAAACGAACCATGCTGCATGCCGGCGGTTTGCCGAGCAGTTGCTGAGTGCCTCGAGGCAGTGCTGCTTGCCTGCCGCCAGCCGAGAGACACGAACACTTCTGTGCACGTGCACAGCGGCAAGCACTCATCGATCCACGTGGGATGAACGGCATGAGCCAAGTCCGAGACAGAGAGAGAGAGGGAGCCATTTTGGCTCAAGCCGTGAGCGGTTCGAGCCCCGCCGAGGTGCCCTCCAAAGAGGGGAGCAGTGTCACGGGGAGACGCCACAGAAGCAGAAGCTACCAGGAATGGGGATCTTCGGGCTCAGGGGAAGGCCGCCACCTCCAGCGCACTACACTCGACCAGGGGGGATGCTCCCAAGGTGGCAGACCGGGACAGAAGCAGTTGCAAGCTGATTTTGACGTGTGAACCAGGATGAGTGACCCCACCACCTTCCTGAGGGGGAAGGAAGCCCTCGCGGCGGCTAGGGGGACCCTCCAGCAGATCCTCCTAACCTGCGGCGAGGACGGCCTCACCATAGACATCAGCACGCTGGGGGGGGACCTCCGCAAACTCGTCAAGCCACCATACCCTTGTGGGAAACATCAACAACGGCGAGCTCCCTACCCGGCACTGCTCCTTGATGGCCAGAGACATTGCCACGGGGTATGGGGACGAGCTGGGGTTACTACAGGCCATCAACCGGTCAAGTTCGAAGCGGCGCTCGCCAGCCTTCCAGCAGCGCAACGCTTGCGCCAAGAAAGAAGCCAACAAACACTCCAGACAGCGCAGCCGCAGACCAGCACCACACAACCCACCATGCCAGAGCGGAGCGGCCAGCCAGCAGGCCGAATCAAAAGGAGGCTACGTTACCCTGGCTTCCCCCCACACATCTCACTGTCGACGAAAGCCGCGAACTGACTCCAACGAGACTGGCGGTGGGGGGGCCCTCCTTAATAACAGGCAATGCAACACCAAGCCCGGTGAGGAAGGCCAGGACCCGGCAAGCAGCCACCAGCCGATGCCAAACAGGGCCGAGCCACATGCAGACAACACAGGGGGCAGACGGCAGGAGCGCAGCAGCGGCGGAAGAACACATCCACGAAGCCTGGCACTTGCAGGGGCCATCGGTCTGGATGCGATGTACACTCACCTGGCAGCGGCCCTTACCAGTCTCCAACTGGACAATCCTGACGGGGAGTACAGCAAAGGAACCGCCTTTCCATCACCACCCAGCGCGTTTGAGATAGCAGCTTTGGTGGCAGGGGTCATAGCGGGGGACTGCCCCACACCGGGGAGTTGCTGGAGCTGTTGGAGCTGGTACAAGCAGGGGCGGCGTTCCTACTGGAGGCGTAGCGCAGCGACAAGTGGCAAATCACGCACTGGGCAGAGAACGCACTCCTCGACACCCTCATCACAATAGAGGGGCACGCAAGACAAGTTGGGCGCAGCCACAACTGGCAAATCACGCACTGGGCAGAGGACGCCGCCGAAGAAGCAGAGGCACTCCTCCACACCCGCCCCCATGCCAGACTCAGAAGGCTCGTACCATTCCTGGTGGGGGACGTCCTGAACGAGGTCAACAAAACTCTCCAAGCCTGGTGGAATGGACAGTGGGGCACTGGGGGGAAGAGGTCGAGCGGTCGAGCTGGTGGGGGAGACATGGGGAGACCACATGGACCAAACCCTATGAAACAGGAGAACTTCAAGGCGGAAGCGCTGAACGAGAAGGGGCGGCGAGTGCACCGAGCACCACTACACGACCCGGCGAAAGCTCACCTGACAGACCGCCACCTGAGAACGCCAGACGCCGCTCCCAGCTCACTCGACCAAGACGACCAAGACTGACCTTGGTGGAAAAAGGAGCCGAGGGGGGCTGCCCGCTGCCAAACGTAGGTGCCTCTGTCTTTACTACCCGTGGAGCAGCTTTAACCGTTGCTTCGTAGGGCGCAGCTCGGCTGCACCCAAAGTTTCCCAGGTTTCAGGGGGGTGGGTATCAGGCCAGGCAGCTGCGCAAGGTTCCCTTCGGGCTAGGGCGAAGAAGCAGGTGAGGTGGGGTTCTAGTACAGTTTGACTTTGGCGCAACACGCAGGCACAAGGAGTAGAGCTCCGAGCCGCGCGAAGGGGAGATTCGGGGGATGGCTGTTACTGTTCGAGCAGACTGTTATTGTTGAATTGTTACTCGAGACCGACTCCCCCTGGCCTGAAGCACAAGACTTAAGTGGGGGTGAGCTCATGGCTCGGATAATGTTGGCAAAAACAGCGGCCTTGCCTAGCTGCCTTTCCTGTGAGTCTCGGATGCTGAGTGCCGCCAAGACTGGGTTTCAGGAATGATGGAACAGGAGGGTTGTTTTCCGGGGGGTTTCCATGGCACACTCAGGGGAACAAACTCACCGTCCCGAATAGGGGCCTCTCCGAGAACGACTGCGGACCGTAGAGGGTAGGCCTTCGGGCCGCGGGACTTGTCCCCAGATCCCTAAGCAAGCAAGCAAGCAGGCAGGCAGGCAGGCAAGCCAGCAAGCAAGCAAGAGAGAAAGAGAGAGAGAGTGAGAGAATCAAGACCGTGACCCTGATATCTGCCGCAGTGACAGCTACTGCTTAAGGACTTGCTGTGCCAAATTCGAGTTGCAAGTAATCCCATGAAAGTGTCAAGTTGCAAGGTGCACCACTCAATGCTACTGGGTGCCTGCGTTTTCTGAAGCTTTTGTGGTTTTAGTGAACAAAAATCCTTGGTTCATAATCAAGGCCTTGGCTATGAGCCAGGTTTGGAGACGCCGTAGCGGTAACAAGACTGAAGTGAACAGTGAAGGAACAGGACTGAAAGGTTTCTTCTGATGTTGCCTGGAAGATCGTCCAGATGACTATATTCGTATCAGTCTAGGCTCATGCGAATCAAAGCCTCAAAACTCAAAAGGAAACCCAATCACGCTTTGCCCATAGAAATTGGAGCCACAACGAATGTGGCCGAGTCCTGCATGAACGATTATTTGCACATGGCACGCCTTCATCTGGGCAGGTGCCGGCAGAAGACGTTGCCAAGGTCACAACAGCCAACTCTCGACGGTTCTTCGGCTTATAGCAGGATAGGGAGGCTTACTGGTATAGCCCACTGAAATTCTGGTTGTGTGTACAGAATGTACAGTGCTCCCGTCGCCGATGGACGCGGTCCAGGTCCAAAAGAGAGCGTTTGCTGTGCCGCGTGGTCATCGTAGGTAGGCATAGATTAAGCACGGGTTGCGCTTGGACCAGGTCTTCACAGGCAATCTTGCTGTTTAATGGCTCCGGCTCCGTACAAGTTCCCTTTATGTTGATGAGGCATCATTGTTTGGAGACCATGGGCATTGCATGGCCATGTGACACAGCCGGAATGACAGCCTTGGGGCACAGCAGCAGATAGAAGTTTCTTCGAATTCGGAGAAGCAGCCTCTCGGACCGCTGCCAATGGACGCTTCTGTGTGGCTTAGCTGGCACTATTTCCTTCTTTGAGGTCAGAAGCGCCAACAAACCAACCTTTCTTGTTTTCTTCTGCCTTTGCCAGGCAGTGCAAGCTCCTGCCTCTGTGTCGTCGAGAGTCGCAGGCCAACTCACTATGGTATTTGGGCAGGATGGCCCTGATTGACCATGAGCTTCCCTTGCAGCTGCCACAGCTGCTGGCTCAAGCGGCTTATTGAAAGAGCATCTATAATGCGTCATTTTGTTCCGTCTCTGTTCTAGTCTTCGGCGGATTGCGACAGAATGGCGGAAACATGGCCGGAAGTTTGCGTTCGTTTGTTGGGGGCTACTTGTGAGCATCGAGTCCTTGACATGACTGGCGCCTGCTCACGCGAGTTGGCGCAGTCTTTGCACAACGGTCTCCTGCCAGGCACCATTCCTTCAGGGCTTCTTGTTGCGAACGTAGCAAAGGCCGAGAGTCTAGAAGACCTCGTTCGTGAAGTCGATTTAGTTCATCGGAGTCCTGTGGTTTTCACAGTGTCTCAGCCTCAACGGTTCCCGCAGCTTCTGACTGCGTCGCCCGGCGAGGGCTTCGCAAAATGGACAGCTCCGACAAAGAGAGAACCATCTGGACAATTTCTCATGGAGTTTGACCGTGTCATGTGCGTTCCAGGGCAACACCTCCGCCCATGCGAGGCATGCGAGGGTCAACTTTGGCATCGGCACCCTTTGCATGTGAGAATTCTTCAGCGTGGGCTCGGCCTGCTCAGGCCTGGTGGACGACTTGTTTTCGTGGCATGTGGCCAGCTGCACCCGGTCGAGAACGAGGCAGTCATAGCTGCAGCCTTGAGCAGGTACGGCCCGCCGTCCGTGCAAATAGAAGATGCTAGGCAGCTTCTTGCCTGCCCATCGTCTTTGGGCTGCACCTCATGGAGCATACCCAACCCTATCAAGGGAGAGGAGCCGTCCCATTTCCTGTCATGGGACGACGTCCCTCTCAAACTGCGGGATGGCAAAGTTCTTCGCACTATGTTTCCGCCGAAGTACAGCGAGCCGAATGGTTTGGAACTGGGCTCACAGCTGGCGCGCTGTTTGCGGCTGGATGTGGGCCCGGGGCTCTTTCTGGCTGTCTTGGTCAAGGAGTCAACAGCACCGAGGATTTGTTCATCGCCGTGTCCCGTGGAGGAAGACGAGCAGTCTTCCTTGACACCGGGGAGCAACATCATGGTCAGATCATCAGGAGCCTCTGCAAGGGTAGTTGGACGTGGAAGTGGCCCGTATGCGGGCTTAGTGAAGATCAGGTACCCTGACAGGTCCACATATCATTTGGAGGCGAGTGAGCTGCAACCTCTGTCGAGTCGACCCACAGCTTCCCCAGCTTTCACATTGGCATTTAAGGCTGCTTGCTTGGCTTTGACAATGATGAGCACTCTATTCTACATCAGTCCGTGGTCGCGGTGCTCTCACACACTCGTCCGCCGGCTGAAGTGGCATTCGGGGGTGCTTTTGAGTGCATGTCTGGCCTTTGCTTGCATGCGAAGTCGTGGGCGTGCTGTACGCAGTCCGGTCGGGGTGGCAAAGTCCCCACTTCCTGGATCTAGAATTGTGAGGGGATGTTCGAATGTGCCACAACCCGTGCAATCCTTTTGCTCCTTTTTTGGTTGGGATCTATGCTGGGAGAAGTTCCGAGATTGTCTTGCCTATCGAACGGCAGATAAGCGCGACTTGTACCTGGTGTCTGCAGCCGTCTTTCAGCTTCGCGTTCCGGAACAGCTGCGCCAAACTCTTTGTGGAATGCCTGTCTTGACTAGGTGCGATGTGTCGGAGAGACGGTACTGGGGTACCGACGTGAAGCCCAGAGCCACGCTGACAGCCTTGCTCCGCAAGTACGCATCACGGCGGCGTCTCCTCCTTCAAGGCGCTTTGCTCCAGGAGATCTTGGACACAGGCTGCTTGTCGCTGGAAGCCTGCCCGCTCGAATCAGAAGTACAACAAGGTCTGCTCCAAGGATTGGATTCTTGCACCTCGGAGGGAATCCTGCGACCTGGCTGCGTGCTGATCTTATGCAGTGAAGCCGATGACGCCGAGAATTCCCAGTGTTGGCTCGGCGTTCTGGGATCGACGCACCTGGAGATACCAGAGGTGCTCCACAGGAAAAGTCCGTTTCCCCTGCCCTGACCCGGCCTGCCTCCCAAACAAGCTCAAGCAGCCACACAGCGGCAAGACGGATACTTCAGAATCAACGAAGTTGCTGCTTAAGTAGTGCCTTCGTACGAGTAGTTATTACTTGCAGTTTCACATATGTTAATAATGCATCGCAGTTTCGAGGCGATGGGTCTTAAGCACGGCGACGTACCACACAGACACAATTCACCGTGTTGGCTATGGCCAAGTTCCTGCAGCTGCACGTAAGGCTTATTTTGGACAGTGATGTCAACAAACAAGACGTCGACAGGACAACGGACGGGCTTGCCGAAAATCCTGAAGCTTGTCACAAGCTTCGCTTGCTCCGTTGGCAGTTGCAAATTGCTCGCAACCAACAAGAGCGAATCCGAAGCTTCTGAAGTGACCCGTTCTGCTCCAGCCTTGTGTAGTCGGCCTGCCGTAGTCGGGTACAGTCGAGTCTTGTGCCAACCAAGCCTCACTGAAATTGCGATGGTGGCCTTTGAGGTGCGGCATGCTGCTGCTGGGTACGGCAGGAGGATGCCGGCTACGTCACAGATGCAACAACTGGCAGTCAACAAAAGGAGGCGAACCCATTGTTTCGAACAGCAGTCAGTCAAGCAGTTTTTATCTGGCAGTACATGTTCTTTTTTGCTCACGCATTGTTGCATCATTTGAGAAGAAGGGCATCTGATGCCGCTCGATGCACCTGCCATGATCTGGCAAGACTGGCTCTAGAATCTTAGATCTAGACGTGGGCTGTCGTGCGAGCCTCGCGCAGTCGCAGATGTCAGACCCGGGTCCCACACTCAGCCGCTCGAAGGTGCCAGCGGAATATGCCGAAGGATCTGCCAAGCTAAGTTTGCTGAGGTAGGATTGTTTGAGGGCGGGAGTTGCCTAGCAAGTAGAAGCCTTCTGACCCCCGCCAATGCATGTGGCTCCAGGGCTGATTTGAGTTGACCGGCAAAAACCTCAGCAACAACCAACACGCTTAATGACAGATCCACTGTGTCAGCGTCGCATATGTCAGAGCAGATCACTTGAGATTGTCGCGTAGCGCCCAGTGCCCTGGTGAAATGGCTTTTGTGAGTGCCCGTCGAATCAGACGTCCAGGCCGGTCAGCGAAATGGTGAAATCATCCCAGTGTGGTTGCTCGGCCAGGCTGGACATGGACATTCCCGCTTCAGCAGGTCCGGTGCTGTGCAGGTGGGATCCGATGCATCATGAGGCTCATGACCGAAGACGTGTTGGTACACCGGGAGGTTCCAGCAGCGACGTCCTCACAGCCAGCGCTGCGACGGACGTGGCCCGCTTGGGCGGCGCTATCGCTGCACATGTTCGCCAGGCTTTGACGTGTTGAGCATTGTTGAACCATCCAATGCAGGCAGTCCCACACACACACACAAACACACACTGCATATGCCACCCATTTCCACTTGGAGGTTGGCAGCGCGTCGATTCGATTCTTGGCAATGCATGCCCTGTGCGAACTCTGGTTTTTTCTGTCAGCTGGTTTGCTGAATTCTTTAGACCCAGTAGGCCGCAGTGGTTCTCCCGCCTTCGCCTGCTGCTTCTCGCCGAGGCTGCATCGGTCCAAAAGCTGCGTACCGCAGCGTCAAGTCAGTCGTCAATGCCAGCGACTATTTAAGTCGAGATCCGGATGCACTCGAAGACCGCTTTCTAGGAATGGAGGTGTCGAAGCGCAAGGCACGAAGAAGACTCTTGGTTCATTTCAAGATGCCAGAGTCATGCCCTGAGCTATCTTGAGCGACATGTGGTGTTGTTTTGTGGGCTTCCTCAGTGACTGCCCAGGAGAAGAGTCAGAGCCAGCAGAGCACAGTAACGAGCTGCATCTTCGTGTGCACCCTGTGCAATTACCGGCTGGTGCGTTCCAGAAGAGCAAGCCGGCTGTGGAACTTCTCGTTGGAGCCAGCACGCAGCCTGGCAAGGTGCGGGCACAGCCGGGGCCGTGTTTGAGACATTACGGTTTGGCTTCTCTCGCGGTGCCGCCCTGGTCGCCGACGCAGGGCATTCGGTCCGTCACAACTCAATTGCTACAGATATCTCATAGGCCTCAGCTTCGAAAGCGCAGATGGGTGAGACAAACAAAATTGGTGGCACGGCATAGGAAACACACAGGCTCATCGTCAGGTTGCACGAGCATGAAGGGTCGTCTTGAACAAGACTGAACAAGAATCTTGGTTCGTTGTTCGTCGCGGCTCCCTCTGAGCATCCCGATTCTGCTAGTGGCTCCGAGCTAGGCTGAGAGATGCACACGTTCAGATCTGAAAGTTTGGGGGCTGTGCGAACGTTGAACTCTTGGATGCTGTGTCCCGGGCACCACTGGTTACACTGGTTGCTGAGACCTGGGCCTAGGTGTGATCCTTTGGTGTAAAGTCGTACGAGCGCTTTTCCGCTGCTCCTGGCCGCAGGCGGCTGCGGCCATGGCAGGTGCGTTGAGGCCAATGGGAGGAGGCCATGGGAAGTATCCCCTGGTCAGAGGCATCGGGACCCTGGCGATTCACCGTGCACTTGTCGCGGCCTATCTTGCCCAAACTTACCTAGACAACGACGATCGGGGAGTTCGATTCCTGGTGGTGCCACGCTTCGTGCAAGAGGAGACCCAGACGGGCTCAGGCTTTCGGAACCAGCTGGTCTTAAGGCTTGTACGATGGGCAGCGGACGCACCAAAAGGCCCAGTGTACTGCGAGGGTGGTTGCACCTGAAGTGTTGCACTAGCATTGCACGGCTCCATGATTCTGGCGACCGGTCCCCTATGGCCGAGGTCATGTTGTGGGTGACTTCGACGAGATGGCGACATGTGGTAGTGTCTTGTCTGCAGCGAGACACTGTTTGTCTGGTATAGACACAAACTCTGTAGCACCATGGCAAGAGTGACGATGCGACTAGGTGCTGCTGACTGCAGGTACTCGCATCGCAACCGTGTGCCAAACCCGAGGCGTGAGGGGCTCACATAGCGGCTGAACAGATGAGCAGACCATGCGCTGGGCTGAACTTGTGGGTCACGTTCTTCTTGGATTCAATGGCAACACAAGCCAAAAGAAAAGTGGAAGCTTGGGAGAAGGGAAATGGGATCTCTGCAGCTCAGGGCCCGTGCCCGAATAAGCCGTGCTTCGTCTGAAAGAAGAGCAAACATGCAGCGAGAATTCGCATAGAATCGGCGTAGCAGGCCATCAGTACCTCGCTCCGTCGTTACCATTCGCTTGGCAAGCAGGTGCACCCGGTCAAACCGGCCGAGACACTGCACGTTGTTTGCGGTGGAAATGGCCACCTCCAATTGGCCAAGGAGATTTGTTCAGAAGAGTGGTGGCTCAAACCAGAGTTTCTTCCGGAAAGTTGCGAGTTCACAGCGTGTGACGTTATGCTACCGACGACTTGAAATACTTGTGGCCAAGTTGGCATTCAAAGCGGAGCAGATAGGAACAACTGGGCCGAACTACTACCACCAGTCGAACCGTGACAGGTGTCCTGTGGCCCGTTCGGGGAAGAGACGTGAATCAGATGGGTGACGTGCTTCCGGTGGTGTGTCGGGAAACGTGGCAAGACTGCTTGTGCAGAACTGGGGAAAGATAGTACAGGCCTGACGAGTATGGGACATGCCTGACCTGCAATGGATCTAGTACTGGAAGGATTGCAAGTATTGTCGATGTGAGGTACTGGCACTCCTGTGCAGTTTTCGACGATGCTAAATGCTGGGGAGCGGCTTTGGTGAGCGCTTCGTTGGGCGACTCCTACCATCGAAATGGGCACGGGACCATCACAGGAAGCACAGGGGCCACCAGATGTCTGTGCTGTCACGGACAAGGTGATGGAAGCGACCGTGGAGATGCAACCAACCAGCTTGGCGATTATCTGCCCTCTATCCCGGGCACTGTCCCGGGCGTAACATCTGGAAGTGTCAAGGCAGCATCTTCAGCCGGCACTTCTCAGAGGAAACGCGCTTCACTTCCACGACTTCCAGTTCGACAAGAGTGACGTGGAGTTCTTCCTTTCCACCAGAAGCATCACTTCCAGTTTGTCCGCAAGCAGTGGCGCGACTTCTGTTTCGACTGGCGCCAGCACCAGTGAAGCTGCCAGCAGGTCTTCGTTTGTGACCGCTCCTTCAGGCGCCATGATTACCACCGGAACCAGCAGCAGTACGACATTGACAGCGTCAAGCTCCAGCACCACTTCGACCTCAGTGACCTCGACCAGCACCTCAGCGGCATCATGCCGAGGAGCACAGACTAGCTGACTAGCCACTGCCTTCATCGACTTGGATGTTCAGGATAAGTGAAAGTCTCTGTATTCCGAGAGTTGTTGAGCAACTTCGGAGTCTTTCGTAGTCTTTCCTGAGTCGCATGAGGTCCGGGCCTCCGACGTACTGAATAGGTACATGCATGAAGCAGTAGCCAGCCGCACAAACGGTCAGACGACCACTTGCATGTAGAGTGCAGACTGTTACCAACCTTGCAGCTTCGGTTGTCTTTGGTTGTGACCAGGGTTTATCCGGGAATGGGCTAGGGATGTGCAAAACACTCACAGGGCAAATGTGGAAGAAACCTACTGCAAGGGCTGAAGCGGTTAGGGTGCCCGGAACCAACCCCGCCAAACCAACCCCAACGAATGCACTTTAGCAAAATGTTACTGCAAAAGTCGGCGGGCCTAGCTAGAATACCACTACAAAATGAAAACACAACGGCATTGCCGAGCAAAGGCGAGCATGCCGAGCATCCCTGCACATAAAAGCACATCATTTCATGACAAGTTCGTTGCGGCCGGCCACATTGCCGCCAGGTGTTGCCGAGCTGGAAACACGCTTTTCGCGACACACATTAAAACATCATTTCATGACAATTTCGTTGCGGCCACACTGCCACGGATCAGGTCGAAAATAGCCACAGGCTCGCCGCCAATCGACACTGAACGCCCCACACCAAATGGTTCCTGGATTTCCGACTCCGTCTGGAGCTTGCCGAAGGCCTGGTATCCAGCTGCGCCAGAGCCGCCAAGCTCCTAATTTTTGTTACCATAGTGGGGATCAAGAGCAAATAATACGGTTTCCTATTATCACGAAGGCTGCATGTACCGATATAGTGCATACTCAAAGAGCCAGGCCTTCGGCAAGCTCCAGACGGAGTCGGAAATCAAGGAACCATTTGGTGTGGGGCGTTCAGTGTCGATTGGCGGCGAGCCTGTGGCTATTTTCGACCTGATCCGTGGCAGTGTGGCCGCAACGAAATTGTCATGAAATGATGTTTTAATGTGTGTCGCGAAAAGCGTGTTTCCAGCTCGGCAACACCTGGCGGCAATGTGGCCGGCCGCAACGAACTTGTCATGAAATGATGTGCTTTTATGTGCAGGGATGCTCGGCATGCTCGCCTTTGCTCGGCAATGCCGTTGTGTTTTCATTTTGTAGTGGTATTCTAGCTAGGCCCGCCGACTTTTGCAGTAACATTTTGCTAGAGTGCATTCGTTGGGGTTGGTTTGGCGGGGTTGGTTCCGGGCACCCTAACCGCTTCAGCCCTTGCAGTAGGTTTCTTCCACATTTGCCCTGTGAGTGTTTTGCACATCCCTAGCCCATAGGACCCCCTACCACGTCCCTGCATTGCTTTTGTTGAAGTTGTGTTTCCCGCGCCGCGGTTCACAGAGTCGGCGCTCGCCGCAACACGCTGCAACGTCAGCATAGCAGCAAGCCTAGCAGCAATGTTGTAGACACAGCATTTTGTGTAGGGAGGGCTGGGAAATTTGTGTTGCGCTGGAACCTCAGGAGCGCCTGCTTTTTTCAGCGGGAGGTGTTCCTTTAGGAGTGCTGGCAGGCCTTGCCAGGGCGAGCCGTATGAGCTTTGCTGTCGATCCCCGCCTTGCTGCCCAGGCACGTCTTCGAACGTCAACGCGGTCTTTATCCTCGGAGTGCTTGCGAGGGCTTTCGGTTTCAGAAGGGCTTGTTATGAGGGTTCACGTCGTGCTGCAGGGTCTTGCACACTGTTTGCTCATGGCTCCCCAAGGCTTTCCTCGCGCCCCGAATCCTTCACGGGGAACCGGGGGCCAAGGTCCGAACTTCGACGCGGTCCTCATCTGGGATCCCGTTTTGCGATCCTGTTGTGAGGCGAGGGCTGGTTCAGGGATTTGCTCAGGATAGTCGGAGTTTTGGTGACAACAGCTGTTGTGGTACTGATGCGGGGTGCGGTGGACTGTTGCAGCGAGCCGGAGTGACCCGTAGTGACCTCTGTAGTGACCCCTACCCTTTGCTCAGGGCATCGACTTCCTCTACACTTTTCATCTTCGCCCGATGTCCACCCAGATCTTCGCCGTCCCCCTCATCTCACTTCGTGTCGCTTCTCAGAAGGGTTTGGGTTTCAGGATGTGTTCGGACTTGGGTTGGGGTTCCTTTGGAGGGTCTTGCGCCGTCTGCTCCCCCTCCCTCCACCGCTCCCGTAACCAGGAGCGTCCTGCGACTCCTTCCGCCAACCTCGCTCTTCTTGCAGGTCCGACCTATAGTTTCGATTCTTTCCCTGCCCTGATCAGATCTTTGCATCCCGATCTTCACTAATTTTTCCGCAGCCTCTGTGTGTTTGGAGGGTTTGCGTCAGCTTGCAACTGTAAGCTGTGCTGGTGTGTGGTGGTTTATTTTCAGCCTGCTGTTAGATCTCATGCTCGAGCCACAGCTTGTTTGCAGCGCGATAGACAGGCATTTAAGAGTGCTCGCGCAACACCTCGCATCTTCTAAGGATGCGAGAGTATGGATCCTTGACCTAGTCTTTGAACCAAAGCGCGACCCAGAGGTTGTCATCATCCCATGGAGCCGTTGACGGTGGGTGCAGGCTGGCTATGAAGTGTTGAAGAGCTGCGCATGTGGCACAACGTCGGCGCAACCTGCCGTGGATTGCTTTGTGAAGTGCCTCGCCTCATATGGGCTTACATGTTCTATGAATTTGTTTGGAAACTCCATCGTCGTTTTTCAGAGTCTCTGCATTGCCGTGACGGCGCGGGCTCACGTTGGCATTTGCCTCAACTGATCGTTCTGGCGAGGAGATGGTTCCGCCACGAGACGAACTTACGTCCGCTTCTTGGCCACCAGAAAATGCCGAGACCCATGTGGGAGTTTCAGAAAATAGGGGACCCTAGTATAGTACCCTACATAGTAGGATCCTTATTATAAGGACGCCAAAATAAGGTACCCCCTAATATTCTGAAACTCCCATGTGGCATGCCCTGCAAGGTGCTTGTGCATCGACCTGCATCTCCTTCGGGTTGGATCATGCAGCGTTTTTCAGCCGAAGGTGCCGTAGTGGTGGCCCACAGCTTCTCCAGGATGGCAGCCACTGCCGCCTGGCAATGGAGGCTTCGTGTTCAGTTAGCCTTGCAACCGGGGATATGTCCACTTGGAGCTTGCGCCCCAGGCAGCACAGTGGGCTGCTTTCGGTGCGGCTCTCAAGCGGTCTGGCGGTTATGGCAGCTTCGTTTTGCAAAGCTCCATGCAGACTGGGCTGGTGCGCTTCGGCCTGGGAGCACGAGGCAGCCGCTACCCCAGCAGTGCCAGGTCAGAGATCTTTGCTTTAGAGGGGGCGTACGGCGTAGGTCCGGTCCATTCCTAAACGGTGCTTCGACGACTCTGAGGTAGCGGATTCTCGATGCAGTCCTAAGGCTCCTGTCGCCAAGCTGTGCTTAGCTCTAGACTTCAGCTGCTTTGGCTTCCGACAGAACGAAGCTGCTGGTGAATGCCTTCGCGAAGGAACCCGGCCAGGGCAGCCCACTGTCACAAGCTGCAACTCGACAACTTGCAAGGCAGTGAAAGAAATTGGCTGGCGGCCTATTCTTGATCAAGGCATGCGGGCAGCTTTGCTTGCCTCGTCAGATCCTTATCTTAATGTATTGTTGGGCAGCTCTGCCATGCAGACTCTGGGACTCCAGAGGTTGGACTTCTTCGGCTGTGGTTTCCTCTGTCGAGCAGACTTGGAGTGGCTGGATGCCCCGGATCCACCAGAATAAAGTAGAAGCAAGGGTGCGGGCCTGTTGGGCCGTGCTCGTCTGTCCAAAACTGCTCCAACTTGCACGAGGGGCATCTCCGACGCCTGATCATGGGGCATGGGGTCCTGGGTCGTGTCGCTTGCACGGCTTCGTTTCCTGCACTTCTCATGCAAAAATTACAGCCATGTGCCGGAAGGGTTCGATCATCCGTTGGCCGCTTGGCGCGGCCTTCTGGACCAAGATGTCGCGAGCCGAGCCGAGAAGCACGGAAAAGCCTCGCGATTCTGGGCTGGCTTTCGCTTCGCCCAGCTTTGCACAGCCAAGTACTCAAAGATCTGGGAAACGATCCTCAAAAAACAGACTGGAACGACATCGAACCATATCTGGTTTTGCAATTGTGTAGCAGTCAAAAACTCTTGCTTTTCACTTTTTGCAATCGATTGAGCAATTGTCCTCGGCTGTTTCGTTCAACTAAAATACTATCTTGGAATGGTTGCTTCCTTGATCGTGTTCGTGGCCGGTCGGGAAGACTGGCCTGTTTTGGTCCTTGTGACGGTGCTTTTGGTAGTCGCACTGGGCTTGTCTGTTTGTCCGGCAAAGTCCTCGATGCTGAGGATTCTGAACTACTCATCTGAGCCTTGAGAATGGAAGGCCGTCCTCCGAACCCCATGGACCATGGCCGGACTTCTGTCGCACGGTTCTGGGCTTAGTGGGACCGGGCATTTGTCTCGACTCCCAATCTGCACGACCTTGGTCTGGGCAGAGCTTGTTGTGCAGGCAACGAGTGTCGCTGCTCTCGTCCAAGTCTCAAGCCAAGTTGCATGAGAGCAGATTGCCTAGGTGGTCGCTGCTCGTGCTGCATCTCCACATTTGCGTCGTTTGCGGAAGGAACTACTGGACAGGACAAGGCGGGCCGGGCAAGTGAACGTTCAGGGCTATCCATGTGTCGATGCGCAACAGGCTGTGAGTGTTAGTCTTGCGTCGTGTGGCATGGAATGGCCGGAAGCCTCTCAAGAGCCACTCTCACCAGTTGCTAGCGTACATCTTGGGTTCTGATCCAATGAAGCAATGTCGTTTGACCTTCCGGCTCCTGCCGGCCATGCTGATGGCACAATTCGTGGTAGCCATCAAGTTTACCATGGACGCCAACACGTCCTTGGGCATCGAGTTTAAGAAGGACGGGGGTCTGGCTCTGCTAGAGGAAGCGCAGGAGTCGGATGCTGGATTTCCTTCTTCTCGTGGATTTCGTTCTTTTGGTGGTGGTTGGATGAAATCTCCGGCTGTGTCGATCGGCGATGCGACAAATGCAGTTTTCAGCACTGCTGATCAAGAGTTGGACGCTGCTGCGAGCGGCAATGTCAAACCTGACACTGCCGCTGTCACATCGGTCTCGAATGGCATCAAGCGGGCTCTGGGGGTCGCTGTGGATACGCTCAAGCACAAAGGTATGCCAGTTGGCAGTGCTCCGTTCAATAGCGCCGTGGTCGTTGGGAGCCACATCGTGCAGGGGGCAGTACTCAAAAAACTCTCCCTGCCCTCGAACATACAAGTCTTCGCCAGCAGGATCGGAAACGATGCCCTGCCAGCCACGAATCTCCACAACGATGAAGGGCAGGTCCAGGAAGTAGGTGTGGTCGCTATGAAAGGGGAAGAGTTGTCGAGAGCCTTGCAGGGCGTCCAGGAGGGCGCGAAGCTCGCGCAGGCAGTGGGGGGGGAGATTGACCAAAAGGCTAAGAAGATTCACGACTCGGCTTCCCTACTGGAATGGCCTGGTTCCGCATGGATTAATTCAATGGCCAACACATACCAGGCTGTGACGTCGCCACGACGACGACGGGGACCACCTCCGAGCCTTGGTGACATTGGGAAAGTTGGTCCTTTATCTGTTGGCTTTGAGGTTGCCCGGACGGTCTGGGACGAAACCAAGAAATTCGTGGAGTGCCTGGCGGAGGGTCTGACTTTGTGTCACATCCTGATCGGGAGCACTTGCGACTGCAGCGACAATAGAAGCTACGTCAAACCCTCAACGTCGGGCTTCGACATGAAGTGCACCTTCACCACGTCGTCCGAATTTGGAGGTGGGTTTGGTCTTAGGGCAGAGGCCAGCAAGTCTTTCGATGGAAGTGCTGCCAAAACGTCCGTGCTCCCAGGTGAGGAGTACGCTCAGGCATACAAGACGGTAAATCAGGTCATGATGTCGCGACAGGCCTTGAAGCCGCAGAAGGCGAAGGCACCATCCGCCTCCTGCGAGACAAACCTGGAGGTCGCCTTTGAGGGTGCAGCGCAGTTCTCCCCGACCATTTCCGTGAGCATGACATTCGACGGGAGCACCAGAATCAGCATCGAAGGCATGGTTCGTGCCTCCATCCATGCCCTTGTCGAGGGGGAGGGCAGCTGCTCCTTCCGTGCCCAGAGGGGCCTTCCAAAAAAGCCCAAGACCAAGGTGGTCTGCTCGGGGAAGTTCTGCATCGTCTTCATGCTCCAGTTCGTCGCCGATCTTGAGATCCAGGGTACCCTCACGGGCACCGTCGAGGCCTCGGCAGACGTGGACTTCGAGTTTGACGGCTCAGTGACAGTCAACAAAAACGGAGAGGCGGTGTCGGAATTCGGGCGTCCTTCGATTAAGCATCAGACAGGTTTTGCCATTGGCGCGAGTGCAGCCGCTTCCGTGCGCATCGGCATGGGGCCTGTTTTCACTATTTGGCCGGTGCCGGGCATTCCCATCAACTTCAATCCCACGATCAACGCGGAGGCCAAGGCTCTCGGAACCTTGGAGTTCAAATCGGGCACCGCCCTGCTCCAGGAGGGGCACTCCCGGTCAGGGGACAATCACTCGGTCACGCGGCTGGATGATACCAGCAACGTCCAGATGTGTTCTGCAGCAGCACTGACGGGTTTCGCCGACCTCGATATCACCGGCTTCTCGCTGCCGAGCAGCTTCCGTGCCGAGCTCACCACCGAGAAGATCCAAGAGCTGATCGAGGACGGGATCTTGGCGGGTGCGCAGGCGCTGATCCAGCTGATCACCGGTCCGCTGAAGTGCGTGCCGGGTGGGGACAAAGTAGCAGACGGCATCAACTCCGCGGCCGAGACTGCCTCCAGCACACTCCAGGCCATGATCCCCTCTCTTAACCTCAACTTTGAAGTGCCCTCCATCCAGCTGTTAGATCCCCAGAAGCTTTGGTGCAAGGAGGTATACAAGACACCAGGTTTCGATGATGCTGCGTGTTCGGACACTTTAGGATGCAAGTCGGCAGGCCGTCCACCCTCAGGGGATGCTGTTCACCTACCCTCGGAGCAGAAGCTTCAGGACAGCAAAGCTGGGCCATCATTCCCATCGCTTTCGAGCCTGAAGATGGGAGACCGGTTCATTCAGATTGGCAAATTTCGTCTGGGTGCTTCTGATGACAACCACTTCTCGGTCGAACACGAGTCCCGTTGGACCGCGCAGATCTACAGAAGCGATGGCACCACGCATCCCGGGCCTCGTCGTGATTTTGGCACCTGGACCAGGCCTGTCGAAGCTTCTCGTGGAATTTCCTTTGGATTCCAGTACATCCAAATCGGCAAGTTTCGGCTCGGTGCTATTGACGACTCGCACTTGTCCCTTTCGCATGAAAACGGCATCACGATCATGATCTTCCGCCATGACCGGCACCTATTTGGGGGTCCTCGGCACGATTTTGGTGCCTTCGACCGTGCTGAGGGTGCGCCATTCGGCGTGACATTTGGTGACGAATTCATCCAGATCGGCAAATTCCGACTCGGCGTCATCCACGACCATTTGGCTCTAACCCACATCTCGAACCAGCTGCTCCAGCTCTACAAACATGATGGCACCCTGCACCCTCACGCGGGCAATGCATGGAGTGTTGAGGTGAACGCACGCCAACCGGCGCCGTGGTATGGCGCGAAGGACATTGCGGAAGTGGCCTATGGTGCTTGCATTGACAACTTCGTGTCTTTCGGAGAGCGCTTCATCCAGCTGGGACAGTGGAGGCTGGCCGCGATGGATGAAAATCACTTCTCAGTGTGCCACAAAGACGGCATCGTTTCCATGCTCTATCTCTCAGACGGAACCCGGCACTGGGGTCCGCGCAGAGACTGGTGTTCGTGGAAAAGGCCGACCGGCTTCCCTCACGGCATCACCTTCGGTCCAGGTTTCATCCAAATCGGCAATTTCAGGCTCGGCGCCATCGACGACAACCACCTCAGCCTTGCACATGAAAACGGCAACACCATCCAGATCTTCCGGTCGGACGACACTCGCTGGCCCGGACCTCGGCATGACTGGACCGCCTGGAAGCAGAGTGCGGGACCGGCTGCCGGCGTCGCCTTTGGGGACCGGTTCCTGCAGCTCGGCAAGTTCCGAATTGGCGACCATGATGGGAATCACTTTGTCATCGCTCACAAGGACGGCGCATCAATCCAGTTGTTCCGTAGTGATGGGACCGAACATCCGTACGTGGGCAACGCCTGGTCGCATGCTGTCTTCAGTCGCTACCCGCGGTATGATTGTGGCGGAATCCAGGACATGATGGGCACCTGCCCTGGACTCGCTGCCGGAGACAACTTCCTGATGATTCTGGGCTCTTCTTAAAGGATGTGTGTTTGTGTTATCATAGTATGAGGACCTTTTGAAAACAATCGTTTACTTTAAGTGACCATAACAGGGATCTATCTATAGCAAATAGTAAGGTTTCAACATTACGTTCTTTAACAAGAACCCAGGATTGGTGACTGGCGCTTGGCCGCCCTGGACGGCGCTCACTTCAGTGTTAGCCACCGCGGCGGGCAGACGCCGATCCTGTACAGAAGCGACGGTGTGCTCTTCCCGGGACCGCAAACGAATTTCAATACCTGGGATTGGGAGAGCAGGAACTCCCATTACAAGATCTTGTTTGGTGACCGCTTCATCCAGTTCGGCCGCTGGCGTTTGGGCGAGTTTGACAAGGACCACTTGGTCATGTGGAACGCCAATGGCCATATTCCACAGATCTGGAAATCTGACGGCACGCTTCATTTCCATCATCACAACACACTCAGACTCGGCGACCGACCCAATGGTCCACCACAGGGCATCACGTTCGGAGACCGCTTTGTTCAGATTGGCAGCTGGCGGATCGGAGACGTGGATTCGGAGCACTTCTCTATCGCGCACGTCAACGGCGTTACCGTCGAAATCTTTCGCCATGATGGGCGCCTGGGTTCTAGGTGAAGAACCCCACTGAGGTTAGTCTGGTTGCATGATCTAACTTCGTCTTTTCCGGGGTTCGTTAACAAGCACCCAGGAATCGATTCCCGGGCCCGCGTGACGACTTCACCACTTTCGGCCGCCCGATCTTGGATTGTGACGTGGTGTAGGCGGTTCGCAAGGAAGGATGCCGACATGTTCAGGCGATATCACCAGCCAGAGCTGTAACTGTCAAGCTGAAGGTTTCAGACACATCCTTCGAAGCTGAAGGTTGTAGACACATCCTTCGCTTGTCGGCAAAGCCAATGGCGGTGTGGAAAATGACAATGTGACCGTGCAGCCAATGCATTGCTTTCAAGCTTCTGCTCTCAGGATCTTGGTACGGTTGATGGACAAAATCCTGCATTACCCATAATAAGGAATATACCATAATTCCCATAATCTAGGGTCCTTAGGGTAATGCAGGATTTTGCCGACCAGCAGTACCTGTCTTGTTCTGCTGTGAGGTGACAAGCTCTGACAGTGCACAGGTCGAGTGCTCTCGCCGGAGTCTCAGTACGCATTTGGGTGGTTGTCAAAATTAGGGTCCCTTTTCAAATAATAGGTGCCGTATTACAATAGGGACCCATAAACGACCCTAATTTTGAGAACCACCCATTTGTCTCACCCATTGAGATGAACTTCCTCGACGTTGGACTCGGTGGTATTCATGCAAAGCAGGAAAGCGTGCTGCAGCATTAGTGCGTACCTGGAGGCCTCAATGTTCTGAAACAAGATACCCTGTCTAAAGCGACACTGCATATCGTTTTAGTGGTCTTTTTCACTACTATTTATATCCATTTTGCAAACTTATGATAAATACCCATCACAATACTATTAGCCCGGATGCATGATAGACTTTCCCATAATACTGGAGAGTGGTTACTCAAGAATATTGTTCGTCGGTTTTGAAAAATATATACTCTTATGCTACGATCGATATGTGTCACACTATTACGACATTTTGAATAGGCATTGCCTTTTATGGAGCTGAGGTCTTTGCATCGTTGATGATTTTTTCAACCGAAAGCTCTTTAAATACATATTCTGTATTTTTATGGTCTGACAAATTAGATTAGCCTTGTCAATCCAACCTTTGCTTCGGAAAGAGCTTCCGACCCCGCAAAACTCTAATGTGAATATCTGAAATGAGAGGTTCAAGCCATCTTATTTTAGGTTTTTCTTATCAGAAAACTTAATAGTGTAGTATCTATAATAATTTGGCGAATTTTCGTTAAGCATTTGTATATTATACTTCAAAATCGCAGAGAATGTATGATAAATTATTAGATCTTAACCCCATCCTAAAATCTTCGGACCTAAAAGTAAAGAATATTCATAATTCAATCTTTGCCATTTATGTAGCTAGGCCACTCATAGGTATTGCCTTTGATTTTGCAAGGTTGACTTGTGGAAATCCATTTTTGCCTCCCATGTAGCTAAACCAACGAATGGAACCCAGCATTTGTTTGATGCAGATAGGCAACCTCATTGAACAGAGTTGTGGCTCTTGAAAGAAACACGTTCTCCTTGTTTGGGCACTGGGTGCCCTGATGCGAATGCTGGGCATTTCGTGTCTCGAACAAACATGCACCTCTTGGTGAGGACGTCGTGACCGCCATTCGATGAAAAGAGAGAGTGCGTCCTGTGAAGCCATTTTGTGCTGATTTTGTGAAATAGATTGCTATGAACCAATGCCAATGCCATGTTCCTGATTGAAATATTTGTTGATTATGGAACATATCCATTTTTTATATAATTATATATATATATATACATATGCTTGCGGCGTGTTATTGTTCGAACTTTCCTTTCAAGTTCGTCTCCAACTCTAGTGAACACGCTGCGGCCTGAACGAATCTCAATGTGTCGTTCTTGGTTCTGTTTGATTGTTTCACACTTCGGCAATAAGAAAAATGGTTTGACCATGTCCGGGCCATTGAACAAACAATCAGGCACAGCACTCTTTGAAAGCGAGCCCAGGACCCCAAATTGTTCATGGCTGTTACTCAGTTTTTTGAGAAACGAAGATGATCGAAGCACGATCTTAGCGTTGAGCCAGAGCACCAAGGGCTCTTCCGGATTTGAGCGCATGCAGACCTTGCTTCACGAAGCAGCTGCAAACAACACAGCCTCATGCAGCACATTTCGTCACGTGTTTGCGTTGCAAGCTCCTTGTACCGTCCTTGGTTGACCGCCCTGATTTCAGTCCAAACTTTTCGGGTCTGTTGAATTGCTCAAGCCAGAACGGAGGATTGTCCGTTCTTGCTAGTAGAGGACATGGCGAGTGACGGAGCTCGCGCAAGTATCACCCCGCCGAACATCGTTCCGCACGACGGCCAAGGCAATGTCCAAGACATTGTAGCTGGCATTCAAAAGCTATTGAACAAATTGCTGGAGCAACATCAGCAAGAAGTTCAAGCTTTGACATCCAGCAGAAATGCCAAGCTCATCACTCCTGTGGAGCTCCCATTGCCCCTCAAAGAAGATTTAGATGTGACCACGAACGAGGCTGCGGAGATTCCATACGTGCCAGACGAGAGAGCATCGGAGGTGCCAAGTGCTTTTCACGATCAGCTTCTTGTCCCTGTGAAGTTTTCAGTTTACACGCTGTCCTTGCCCAACACTTGCTTAGACCGGGGCATTGATTTGGCCAAGCAACACTGCCAAATAACCGGGATGTTTTTTGATCCGTCACCCGGTTTGTCCGGCTTCACGCCGAGCGGAACGCAATACTCCCCGTGACATTCTGCTCAAGCCGTCCCAGCAGCTGGGTGTGGCTGCGCGCTGCAGAGTCGAAGATGAAGTTGCTGGCAGGGCCTGAGCAATGAGGTTTGTGATTGGTTTGAATACCTCTTTTCTTCCTTCCAGGGCAACAGAAAGAGCAAGAAACAGAAGCTGAGCCGGAAGCGCTCCGGCGGCAAGGTGGATAGGTCCAATGAGCATGCAGTGCAAGATTGGTTTCCAGTTGGCCTGAGATACAACATCCAGAAGCGAATCCGTGAGCACAAGCGACGGGTGAAGAAGGAAGCAAAGAAGTTGGGCCTGAAGAAAAGAGTAAGAAAAGACCCCGGAAGCTTGGCAGATGCTGATCTGCGGGGCTGCTGCTCCCGCCTTAAACGAGCCGCAGCCGAGGAATTCCAAACAGCCTGCCATGGAAGGCAAGGCCAAAGTCTTGTGCAGTGCGGTTCTCAGTGGTGCCATGTCGTTTCGCAACGCAGGCCGAGCTTCTCGCGGAGATAGAGGCTAAGAAGGCCAAGCGCGAAGAGGAGCTCGCTAAGAAGAAGCAGGAGGCACATTTGTCAGCTCTGGGCCGATGTGTCTTGATGCAATCGCCTTAGCTTGTGGATGGTTTCTTGTGATCGCGGCACAGGCGAAGAATAAGGTGAAGCAAGACCGTCTAGAACAACAGCGACAGTCGCAGGAGCCTTCGCAGATGCAAGAAGCCGTCCTGTCGTGTCTGCCTCGAGGTCCCTTTCAGTGTCGGTAGCCTGCTGAGGAGCTGAAGCAGCAAAAAGATGCAGAGCGGCGGAAGAAAAGAGCCGAACAAGTGCCTTCGCAGGGGACACTTCGGAAGTTTGTGAAGCGTACGTCGTACATCCATGTTTCGTTCACGTTCTGAAACGGCTTCGTCACTTGCTCTCCTGAGTTGTTCAAGGTTCTATAATTTCATAGAATATGCAGACAGGGTTATCAAGGCGTCGTGTCTTTTTGGAATGTGTAGCTCAGGTGCGGCGCTTGCTACCGGCTTGTCGTTCTCCAGCTATTGATTTCCAGTTTCCCGCGGTTTGCTTCTTGCTAATTGCTCTTTGGCTTTTCGTTTTTTGATTTACATTTTTTGAGCAAGCCGCCATCGCCTGATTAGAACCCGGGTTTAAGAACTGCGATCGAACACCGTCGCCTGGTGAGGAAGCAGGTTTAAGAATTGTAACCAGTCGCCATAGACCAGTGAGGGGGCGGGTTTAAGACTTGTAATCAACCGCTATCGCATTATTTCGGGGGCTGGGTCAAAAGATGGGGGTGCCTGAAGGAATGTTGTCAACCGCCATCATTTAGTAAAGATGTGACGGCCATGACGGCGACTCGGCCTTCATCCAGCCGAAAGCCTTTCAACCTGGCTTGTCTTGCTTCGATGCCACGTGGCACATTCGTGAGGTGGTTATGCGAAGGTAGACTCCGTGGCTCCGGCCTGCCCAAGGCGACTCAGAAGAAGCCGAAGGCCTCAGCCTCGGCAAGCTCGGCAAGCGCCCCTTCCGGGCAGCGCGCCTCGCTGGCGCCGCCAGGCTGCCGCCGGCTTTGGAATACCTTGAACGTTTCTTCTGAAAAGCTTTGCGAGAACGCTTTTTTGTTTGTTTGTTGCTCCGATGAGCTGATGCAGGTGGTGGTGTTGTTGTAACTACTGGCGGTAACAGTGGGCGGGAGCAGTGAGGGACTGTGCCTGATTGAAGCGCATCGGTTTGAAAGCTGTTTTGGTTGGGAACCTGCGGTGGTGTGTCCAGCCTCGGCCGGGGGTGTGCTGTTTTTGGTGATTTTTTGACAGTTTCGCTTCGCGAATGCCTAGGACAATGGAAACTGCGGTTTGCCGAGTGTCATTTATCGTTGTGCAGTGGTTTGTGCATGATTCCGATGCGCGACCGCCAATCCTGGCCGGAGCGACAGGCTCGCGCATCGGTTTGCAGAGATGCGGATGTTCATATTGACTGGCCATGATGATGCTGCTGCTGCTGCGGGCGTGGATGGGTTTCTTCTCCGATGCTGTCGTTGTTCAAAAAGACTTCGGCACATGTTGGCAGTGTTGGAGGAAGAGCACATGGACACATGGCCCGTCATTTCATGGTACGAAACTTGGCGAAGGTTTGCCTTCAGTCTCCAGTGGCGTTGACTATTCGACGAAGGAATCTAGCAAAGTCTTTCTGACCGTTTACTGCCGTCACTAGAGTATACAGGAGAGAGCCACGGTACAGACATGACCACGACAGAGACGTCCTTGAAGGGCACGTTGCGTTGTTGGCTGCCAAGTGACTGGAATCGGAGTTGTCTAGCTGTCCAGCTGAAAACTGAGCGTATTCTGGTATATGCAGTCCTCGTCGTGTCGACGTTGCATTGTTGCATTGTTGCGAGGCAGCGGAGAGGACGAAGACGAAGATGAGGAAATGATGGAAGAAGGTGAAGAGGAGGAGGACTTTGAAGACGATGCTATGGCAGATGACTAGCTGCTAGCTGATGAGCCCCGGGTTCACCCAGACATGTGTCATGCTGCAACTGAGCCAATGGGCTTGCTGCAGTCTTGCTGCATGTCGGCCGTGGTATAGCATTCAGATGGTCAGCGCCCCCCTCTGCGCATTATTGGCTCTCGAACACCTAGCATGCGATGCCAATGCGGTTGGACCTGCCGAAAGTGACAGCATCACTTTCCAAGATCTTTTTCGATTGTGCCCGCCGTGCTCTGAGCGCGATTGTAAACATCGACACGGACCCGGGCGACTAGATTGCTTTTGGGTCGCGAAGGGAGACACGTAGAGTGCTGGTACATAGACAAGATTACGACTAAGATTTGGCAAGCGTTTGCTGACAGCGCCTGCGTTGAGACCACCCATGTTACATGGATGCCTGGAGGTTCGAAGTACATGTCCGGCTGTTGCATGCTGTTCTTATGTAGGGATCCCGGCACATCTACTTCCCGTGGGGCAGCAACAAATAACGTACTTAAGGGGTTGGGGGGGTCTTCCCCATTACATCAGTTGTTGGAGGTGGTAGTGTTGAGTCGCATCCAAAGCATGAAGTGTCCCTCTCACTGTCGTCATGCTTGACGGTAGCTCATCCCATGCATGCTTGATTACTCGTAGCTTGAGGCCTTGCTCTGACCATCTCAGTTGTGGCATTTGTTTCACAAGCGCAAGGCGCAACAACGAAGTGGATGGCAGAATCCAAAAGTGTCCCATGACGATTTCGCTTCTAGCTCGCCTGGGCTTTCCTCGCCAACTGCAGCAGAGTCAGCCTTTGCTTCAAGTCAACGCATCGGTATCAGCAGACGTTAGTGTGAGCGGACACGACTGCGTTTTTGAGCCGTGAGAGCAAAAGGGTTGACAACAAATCAAGCTTAAGTCAGAAAGTGAAACGTGAGAATCCGTGCTGTCGGGCATGGCTGCTTCCGCATGTGCTCGCCTCGAGCGCCTTGACCGCCTCGAGCGAGCGGCGAGATGCAAAAAGCGCCAAAGAGCCTTCCAGTGGCCCTGTCTGGCTTGGTTCGGTCTCCTGTCTCCAATTGCATGCTACTGGCAGCTTTCTGCTTGACTTAGATGTCATTGTCACTTGTGATGGAGCTTGACCTGCACGAGTTGAGGCGTGACACTAGCAATTTTGCCTCCATGTCGGATTGCTGTGAGCAACTTCTGCAGTCGTGCAGGCAGGAGGGTTGACGTTTGAGGGCACCACCGTTTCGTGTTCATGCTTTGAGGATGTTGGCAAGGATCCGAATCAGTAGTTGCATACATGACTGCGAGACCCTCGGATGCAACGGCAGAGAAAGTACCAGGATTGGGTAGGCCCTCGGGCCAGGGTGCTGGCAGGCAGGCAGGCAGGCAGGCAAGCAAGCAAGCAAGCAAGAGGAGATGGTTAGTCAGTGCTTGTCCCCGTGTCGGGATTTTCAGACCGTCGGCTTCAGGGATGTTTGCCTTGGGGTTTGGTGGGCTAGTCCAAGGCACACACGTAACCCTCGTTGATCATTGCAGCCTTGCATGTCCTGTGCTTGCAGCTTGTTTGCCAGGTGCCGTGTGTGTGTGTGTGTAAGCCTCGATTCTAAGCTAGAGGTCTTTGGTGCATCCAGTACTGCATCGTTCTTTTTGTCAGCAGGGGGGCAGTGCATGCCTGACAGTCACTGCCCAACGAAGACACTGTCAGCGCATGGTGATATCTGGCCTGATCAGCCAGACGTACCTGCTTTAGGATTGAATGGCAACCAGGCCAAGCCAAAAACCTGGCAAGCCGAACTGTGTGCTCATGTGTGCTTTGATGACTTTAAGGTTCATGTCGCATTGTCAGGATCGTCACAATAAAGCTATCAGGTGATCGTCGACTATAGCAACATATTATGACAAAACTGGAAGTGAATGGGTCAGTCCTGATGGACTCCCAAACTCCGTGTATGGCCTTGTCGCCAACGGCAACAACCGCTCCTGCGGACTGCCAGGGTACGTTTCTTGCGGCCCATGATGGTAACAGAACAGGCCGTACTCCTTCGGGACAGGTCAATGGTGCAAAGGCATTTATAAAGAGTGGCCCTTTTCTTGTCAGGTGATGGGTCTAAGTGCTCCTAGTGAGCAACCGGAAAGACAGTGCCCCGATTGGTCAGGTGATGGGCTTGTGTGGCCCGACGGTCCTAAAGTGGCTCTAGCAGCCTGGAGTACACAAAGAAGCAACGGTAACCAAAGATGTCTGGTCGTGGTAGCATCTTGGCTTGATTTACGTTGCTTTGAGTGTGGTGCAGAGAGAAGAAGTCGTGTGTACTGCCTTCAGGAACTAAGGGCCGCTTGTCTTCTCAGTCTGTCAGCCGAGCTATTGTCATCTCCTCTCGCTCTCTCTTCCCTCTTTCCTCTTTCTGGTCGTCTGTCAGCCGAGCTATCGTCTTCTTTTCTCGCTTTCTCTCCTTTTCTCCGACGACGACGATGACGATGATGACCATGCTAGGGAACGACAACAAAGCGAGCCTCAGGACGATTGGACGCAGGACTCACGACTTTCCCCTCACTGAGGGGTGTGTGTGTGTGTAAGCTTCGATTCTAAGCTAGAGGTCTTTGGTGCATCCAGTACTGCATCGTTCTTTTTGTCAGCAGGGGGGCAGTGCATGCCTGACAGTCACTGCCCAACGAAGACACTGTCAGCGCATGGTGATATCTGGCCTGATCAGCCAGACGTACCTGCTTTAGGATTGAATGGCAACCAGGCCAAGCCAAAAACCTGGCAAGCCGAACTGTGTGCTCATGTGTGCTTTGATGACTTTAAGGTTCATGTCGCATTGTCAGGATCGTCACAATAAAGCTATCAGGTGATCGTCGACTATAGCAACATATTATGACAAAACTGGAAGTGAATGGGTCAGTCCTGATGGACTCCCAAACTCCGTGTGTGTGTGTTCAGGTGCATCCACTGCTTCAGGTCGAGCTGCTGACATTTTGCCCGCCCGCCCGCCCCGATGGGTGGAGCATATATTCTTCAAAGGATTATGTCCAGTTGGTGTGTGCCCATCGGCGTTTGTTCCCTACGAGGGGGTTCGGATCTCTTGGGCCTGGACGGCCCTGCTGTGTACATGTCTGCTGCCAAAGCCGCTGCCCACATGTCTGCATGAGCAGTTGAGGGTTGGGGAGACAGGTAGGGCGGAATGCAGTTGCGAGACTTTCACTTGCAGTCTGAGGTGGAGCACCAAAAGACACAGGGAAGTTGCGTCGAATCATCTTGGAATCTTGGTATTATCGTTGCTGTGCTTCTGTTGGTTCACTGTTGGAAAAGTTTTGGTTGGAAAACAAGCCACGACGTTACTCTCGGTAGTTGAACTGGAGCGGCAACGGATGACCCAGGTGGTGTGTCAAAAGGCACATTTTGTTGAGGGAACGTGGGCGTCGCTCA